ATTGCTCCATTTGTTTCATCTCCATTCCCTTCTTGTAAGGGATGCCCTGCGTATGCGACGACCAACACCGTCTTTCTGATGTGATACACATATCCGTTCTTTTAGTAGAATACCAACCGTGTAGGAAAATGGCATTACGAATACCAGCTGCCGTTCAGCTTCCTACCGTACGATGGCGACCACCACGGCTCATCGTCTTTTCTGTAGTTGCATTCTCTTTCTTTCTTTTCAGGAATAATGTATGAATTGTTTAGATTTTATAATGAATAATGTGGCGTTTCGTTTGTCGTACTAATCTTTCAAATTCACATTGTGTGGTGAAATCTCCAAGGCTCTTCTCTCTTTCATGATGAATCAAAAACAATACTATTTACTACGACATATCAATTTCAATATATAAGTATCTATTTATATCATATAGAAACATAATGCGCTTTTTAATAACAATATGTACTTGTACTTCACTAATTCTATGCACTTTAATTTAATGCTTAACTTAAATTCACAACGATTCATAAACAATTCTGTAATCTTTCTTTCTTCTTTACAATTTTTCTTTTTTTTTCACTTTTCTCGTTATTCTTTTAGTATCAGTAGTTTCAGTAATTTCTTCTGGACCTATCCCTCTCACAATGTTACGAACTGTATCGAAATTAATAACTTTTGAATTTTCAAAATTTAACGTTAATTCCTTTACCTTGCATACGCTCTTTCCAGAGTCTAACATGTCATAGTTCTTAGGACCTCCCGATACAAAACATTTTATATAGTTTCCGTCTTTTTTTTTTTTTTTATCAATTTCCACTCCTCAAGTTTTTCCGATACATAGCTCGTCATTTTAAAACAAGAATAACCACTTTGAACAACAATCAATCGGACATCAAGTTTACCGCGTCGTCGTGATGAAAACTTTGAGCGCGAACAATAAAATGGCTAACAAACGATGTCACTTAAGACGTCACATATTCATAAACCAATCAGAAATGAGATGAGTATATCTTCACCAGATTCTGTGTTGAGTAGGATTTTAACATTATTTTGGTTAGCGTTAATAACCAGGAGCATTGGTAAAATAGACCAGGAAAGTGTTAAAAATATTTCACCAGGAAATATTCACCACCTATTTTTTAGAGTGTACAAAAACACAGCGTACACAGTAGAAAAATAGTTACAAAAACGCTAGAGGTAAAATTAAGTGAAATATTACTTGTATTAAAAAATGTGTCTGGACTCTAAACTTGGTCTTTTATTCTATTATTAGGATCAATTATATTTTTTAAGCGACCCTACAAAGCCGTCTAACCACTGTTAAACTGATTGACGCCTTCCACATAAATTAATCACCTAGGTAATTTTAACAAATGCTTCCAACTCGGCTGAAATTGTGTTTGGCCCGTGAGATCAACTTTACAGAATGTGTTGGCCCTTCGAACGAATTAAGAACAAGGAGTCTATATGGCACGTACGCAGTAACATTTTCTAACCGTGATATTTAAACAATTGTTTATAACGAGACATACCAGGCCTTCGTGCCCTGTAAATATTATTTATTATTATTTATAAGCAATTGGTTAAACACATTTCCACAAGTAAATACAATGCTGAAATAGATATTATATTATTATTACGTAACTATTTTTTATTTAACATCTTTGTTTTTATGAAACCTTTACCAAACTAGGCCTTGTCTGGCCTATAATAAGAGACCTGATAATAAAACAGGCTTATTGAACGTAGGCCCTACTAGCGTCAACTTGGCCGTAAACCAGGGGTGGCGCCAGAGGGGGCTGACGATAAATTTTGTCAGGGAACAAACAAATTTAAAAAAATATTTACATGTGATATTCGTTTAGCCACCATATCGTTTGTGTTAAATTTTCATCACAACAACAACCACAATAACAATAATAATAATAACAATAATAATAATAATAATAATAATAATAATAATAATAATAATAATAATAATAATTCAATGAGACTAATTAAAAATAATCTGCGTTCTGTTATCACAAATGCTCATTTAGATAGCCTCATGATGGTTGGAATACATCGTGATAGGTGAAGCAACCTCGACCATGACAACGTGGTTGACAGATATCATGCAAAATTTTCACTTTCAAGAATGAGGATTTGAAAATAAATTAGATGGTTACATTGCATACTCTTTGTTTCTTGCTTTATTAAAAATGTTTTTTGATTTTGGAAGCTGATGTCAACATTAGAAAGCATAGCCTACATGAAGTCATATTATAGTAACTCGATGCCTGTCAAATAAGTAATAAAAATTCGCCATAATTCATCAAATATCCGTGGCTTCCAGGGTGCTTCGCCCCCTGGACCCCCACCGGGGGCCCTGGGAGTGCCCGTGGCCCCCAGCCAAGTGACACTCGATTTGCTCCACTAGCCCCCTCCCCCGTCGGGGCCTTTAGCCCCTCCGTCGAGCAGGTCCTGGCGCCACCCCTGTCGTAAACGATACAAGGTAAAACCGCGAATAATATTATAATGAAATTATAATATTTTAAAGTTATATTGTTTAATTAATATATATTTTTTTCGATATGAAATCAAGATGTTGCCCGGGCCACTAGAAAAACACCCCTGCGTCCACCCCTGACTGGTTTTATTTCTGACTGTTTATTTACTTTTACTTTTTAGTTGCTGTTTATCAATTTTGTGTCTCTGCCCAGAGCCAGCCATTATTATAGTATTTTACTTTTAACATATACATTAAGACGTTCCTCTCCTAGTCCAATCAATACATGCTGCTAGTAATCGAAAGTTGTACCACGGGGCACAGAGAAGCTCTGGTATACGTTACTCCCAACATAAATAGCAATTGATTTTCACTATGGCAACGCGTATAACTTACGACTAAATTGTCTATTGTACATAGCCTATACAATAAGGGCCATGCAATAAACTGCTCAATAAACATTAATTGTATTCTGATAAATGAAAAAAAAAATCAGTATAGAATTTAATGTATGTTTTAAAATTTCTACTACATTTTTATTTCTTATTTGGTTTATGAAAAGCATGTGAAATCATAATACAACCCGACATTGTTCTAGTCAGTTATTTTGAACAAAAACTAGATTTTTAAATCTAGAGAAAGATCTAATAATTATTTGAATCATTCTATATAATATATATATATATATCTGTCTCTTATACACATCTAGATGTGTATAAGAGACAGCTATAGTACCGTACTCGCGCGAATAAGCG